AATACAGCCATATACACACCATAAGCTAATTCTTAAGTAGGCACTTCAGGAGTCTCAAAAGTTTTTAGATGACAGACGAGGTTAGGGTTACAATCTAAACTAAACTGGCACTGTGCAGATTGAAGACTCGCTGTAGAGATTAGTATATTTGGAGACAGATATGTGGAGATATGGGGAAACGAGATATAGCTTTTTCATTCATTCATTTTCATGTGTTCTTCATCTTATTTGGAATTTGAGAAAACCTGGTGCTTGTTATTTTGCCCCCAGGTGAGAGGCAGGGTAAATCCAGGACACACTAACAGCTAGCACAAAGGCAAATGGGACAAACCACCATGTACACCTACAATTATGTCTTTAATGAATTAAGAATAAACAATCAACCTCACATATGCATTTCTAGACCCTGGCACGCAAGTGCTGTACTTGCAGCAAACCCCCGCCTGCAGTAAGGAGAGCATGAAAACTCAAAAACAGGAACATCTCTTTGAAAAGCTTCCTTTAAAATTATTAGCAGTTTCATTGTTCCACAGTATCTAATGACAAATGGGCCATTATTTGGCCAAAAGATTCATTCAAATCCTTATAAAGACTGTAGGCAGAGTGTAATACTACAATCCAAAGTCTACAGATTGACTGGGTTCGTGTAGTTTCTCTGGGCCGATTAAGGCAGAAGACACAATATTTGAGTTGACCACCACAAGAATGTGGAATGAAGGCTTTGAGGCACACGGCTCTGGCTTAACAGCTGTTTAATCAGTGGGGCTGAATTTTTGCTACTACAAAACTGGCATCTGCAAAGAGAGAAACCAAATTACTGTAGGAGGCATGTTAATACTCTCCACTGTTGCAAAGACCAGGCTCATTTTCCTTTAAGATAAAAAGAACACAAAATACAAAACAAAACAAAACAAAAATGTCATCAATAATATAAGCCAGGACAAAAAAAAGCAAAGATCGTGAAGAACTGCCACTTATATGAAAAATAATTAATCGAAGATAATGAAAGCTAATCTCTGCTTAGAAAGTTCCTGTCAGAGGTTTAAACAGAAACCTTTAAATGGACAGTAGTGAATGTGATTTGGATTACCTGCATGACCTCTTTGAGCAAATCCATCCTTCATTTTAAAATGGATGCACAATGACAACTCCGTTTTGCAGTTGCCTCCAAAGGAAGGAATGCTTAATATATATTTCAATGAGAATTTAAGTGTGCTTGGCAAACAGAAAGGATGAGAGGGAAGAGTAGTCCCTGGAGAGAGGCAAGACAGGAAGTGATGTTGTCTTTATCAAAAAGCCATTTGCTTAATTGATGAAGTTAACTCCATTAAGTTTATAGAAAATTAATAAATTATAAAGCATTGCTTAGTGGGCTGCAACACTGTTTTGCTTCATATCCCAATTTCTAATTGTCATTAGCTTAATGTTCTTGGATAAGAAGAGTAAATAAAATTCTGCATTAAATCAACCTCAATAAATAATTTATGTATTTTAGTACACACCTAATGCATTCAACAATAATTAAATTAGTACTCAAGTTCTCCTTTACAGCGCACTGTTCCAAAAGATCAGGGCCTTTTAACTTTGACATAAGAAAGCAATGTGTATATTCAATTTTCCTCCCCTGCACAAATGCTAACCTGGAGATCCGAGTCTAAAGAAAGAGATTCAAGCGTTACGCACAGAAGAAAAATCACTAACACTGAAAGATTTATGAACAAGTTCAATTAGTTAACTAATTCTGACATTCAATGAGCGAATTCTCTTCTGGGGAGCCATAATTAAATTCATATTCCTTGCACAGGTTATTTAAAGTCATCTGATGAACTTCGCTGAAAAACCCGCAGACTGGTTAAGGCACACTTTATCACCTAACGAATCACTCACTCCATCTCTGCTATGGGGCTTTTTCTGATTTTATCTTCGTAAGCGAGTTAGTTTCGTTTCTACAGTGACGAGAATGTGGTGCATGTTGTGGCCGGCCGACTATTAGAGGAGGCCCCTTTGAAAGGTTTCGTCAGTGCTGAGCTCCAGGTGCCTGCTGAGGCCTCCTGTCTGTCTGTCTGGCTGACCTACACTGGCTCCCACCATATGTACCCTTCTTCACACCTTCTGTCACCGTCACACTACGCACGATGTACACTTGTGGCCTCCGTCTGACTCTCGGTCTATTTATCTCGCCGTCTCCATCTCTGGTGTCCTTGCATATTTAGAAGCTTGCTAATAATAGATCATAATCACTCAATATTAATTCCAGACTAATTGAAGTGTTATTACTGTCTTCGTAATTAAAAAAAATCCATCATATTTTGTAACTATTAGTGATATATCTTGAGCTAATCATCTTACATATCTCTGTGATTTGACTTAATGAATAAAGATGATCTCTTTTTTTTTTTTTGTTAGGTCATTTACCAGAACTGCATCTATAAAATGGCTGTTTAAATGCTTTTTATGGTATAATAATAACAGGAAAAGTAAAATGCACCACTCCTGTTTTTATGAACTGGCGTGGCTCTCCATAAGTTAACACTTAAGTCACCGTTTTTGGCTTGCTGGTGGCAATTCTGGCAGCCTCACCTGGCTCTGCACCAGTGCTTTTTGCACCATGGTCCAGCGGAGCAGAAAAGTCCCCGGTAGCCTGGTTACAGCAAACCTGAGCCGTTTGGACAATAATTAAGCCATAAATCTTCCTGAGACCATATGAAAAGACCGCCCCTCATTACACCCCCCCCCCACCTTCCATGTAACGCGGTTCCCCTTCCACAATCAGCGAGCCCGCCTGATAAGAAACCAATTCAGACCCCCTGCTTCGAGATAACATTAGCAGCTGCTCACCTTGAATCAATGAAATGCCTAAACAAATTTGTCCTCTGGAATCTAATATACCAGATAACTATAGAGAGCAATACTGCCAATACACAGCATGCGCACAAATCTAATTTATCTGTTTTGCAAGATACACTCTGAGGCAGAAGATAGTTTCTGTAGTGTACTGAAATGTATGACACAGCTATAGAATAGCAAGGTAGAAAATAACAGAGGGGTTTTTGCTGTCATTTGTTTGCTCATAAATAGTCTTCTCGTTCACACCTGCACGGTGCCTTCATAAAAGCGAACAGTTAATGGCATATAGCAGTGAAAACTATTTTTATCCGAATTGTGCTTAAGCAGAACTGTGCCTTTTAACAGTTTATGGCAGCTCAGCAAGCTTTTGCATAATCTGACCTAGAAATCAAACACTTGTCACCATGCTTGAGCAGTAAGTAGACTCTTATAAATACACAGAGTGCTCTTGATTGCATTTCAAACCCATCTATTCATGTATGTAAGACAAAATAACCTATTATCGCTGCAGAAACTATTGGAAAATCACATAATCTCAGCTGTCGTCTAGGTTTTGTTGTCTGATATCATATTTTTCAAATAAATATGCCATTAACGCACAGAACACAGAGATGCAGGAGATAAGTAAAGGGACTGCATAGAGACATTTCTGATGTAATCCGCTATTTAAATTTGTAAAACAAAATTTCTAGTTTCTTCCATTTTTTCTGAACCTGTGTAAACTAAATCTGAGACAAATTTTTCAATAATTTTACCACACAACCAATCAGTAACCGATGAGTTCACTAAACAATTGACTGAAATTTGAAAATGCCAAATATCTTTTACAGTTTAAAATAACAGAAAAGGCTAAATCTGAGAATAATGTGGGATTAATTAGATTAAATATGGGGTCTCTGTGTAATTGTGCAGAACCAAAAAGGTTAATAAATCCTTAATTCAAAAGAAAAAAGATTTTTGTATTAGTCACTTGCAACATTTGTTGACATGAAAGGGACAAAGGAGAAAAACTTTCTTTAAAACTTTCTGAGTATGTAAAATTAATAAAGATTAAGACCTGCTAAATATTTACAGCAGCAGACTTAAACTACATGTCTGAAAACATAGGAGCTCTATTTCAGTGGTGTGAAAAAGCTACACAAAAATCTTTGAAATCCCTTTCAGTTTTGGTAGTTTAATCTTATTTCAGCTGCACTATAATTAGATTATAAAAAGGAATATTTAAAAAAAAAAATATATATATATATATATATATATAATACTTATTTTCAATATGTATTCTAAATATTTTGGGCTAATCAATATTATAATACATCTATGTCTGACCCCATGTTCAGCAGAATTCCCGAGTATACTGTTCATAATGCAATATACTCCCAACTGTCAGAAACATTTTAAATCACATTAACACTTTGGCAGACAAAAGCTTGAGGTTTCCCCCTAGGCTCACGACAAAAAGCATAAAATTTATTGCACAACTTAAACTCACTTAACATCACACAAGAATAGTACTTTATTCACAAATAAATGACAAACAAGGCGGTGCAAATGTGACTTAAAATAACACTAAATTAAATGAACAGTTTGGTGTAGTCTGTGCTGCATCCGTTTTGGAGCATTAGTCATGTGTCTACTAAATAAACTGTTTCAATCTAGTATTTGCTTTTGGGTGACATTACTCTGTAATCAAGCGCCACGCCTTCAAGAGCAATCACTTGTTTTATCACAGAGGAACTCTCACCAACCACCTACGGAGACGCAGGGTAAGCCTGTGGGCAAAAGAGTGTGCTGAGTGCTTGATTGGATATAGAGAGTGAGAAGTTTTGCTTTGCACTCTCTCCCCCCCCTCCCCCGCCACCCTTCACACCAACAAGTCATAGCTGAGGAGGCAGTCATCCAAACAACAAATGAGACGTGCTTTCACGGTGCTCACTTTCAATTTTCAGATTTGATGCTTTCATACAGCCCCCTTCAGCCTGTGGCCCAAATAAGCTCACTCAGGCACTTGTTAACACATATATATGCATATATATTTTTTCATAGATTCTGATTTGGGCATTTTTTTTCCCCCATGTCATACATTTATTCTTACCGAGGGGAGGGAGGCCCAGACCTGCCTGAAGTAATTAGGGATGACATGATGTTTATGTAACCTCCATGCCACACAAACCAGATGCAATTATTGGCTCCTGGTTCCTGTGACCCCGGCCCTGTAGCGTTTTTGCACCGCAGAACTCCAATCCCGTGTCACCAGACAGAACTGGGTACGGGGTAATGGGGGAAGGTGGGAACGCTGAGTGGGGGGCGAGCAAGAGTTGAGTTCTTTTCACAGCTCCCTCTGACGGGAGCTCCTTCTGCCTAATCCAAAGTGACGAGCACTTCAGTGGAGAGGGCGCAGAGCCCCCCAATTTCCGCTAGGACCCCCTCAGCAGGAGCAGCAAAGAAGCCAAAGGGTTGGGGTGGCAGACTTATTGTGGTCCGGCGAGTCAGAGTGGGGCAGGGGCCTCATTACAACGCTTAAATGCACTCACAGGCCCTCATTAACCCTCCACACCAGTGACTCAAATCAAAACAGACAATAAAAAGAGGTCAGCGCGCACATAAAGGCTTCCATTTTTAGTCCCAGCATTGTAACTGAGCACTTCACAGCATTTTTAAACAAACAAGCTTCAATGAACATTAAAATTCAAAACGGTGGATTTACCACTCTTACGTGTGTGCATCTGACTCAAGTCCAGGTTCCTGTTTAACTGATTTAGAGTATGCTTCTGGGCCTTTGGTGGTTTTGTTAACCAAAACTCAATGAAAAATCTGTCTAACATAATGCTTTAGATGGCACTCGCTTTTAAGAGAGGCCTCAGTGCAGACAGATGGACAATGAGGTATGAAAAGGCACTCAAGTATATTCCCATTAGGGTGCATAACCAGAGCAAAGATAAAGCCAAGCCTTCAGAAGCGTGCTCATCAGTGGCGGCGGAAGTAAAGCTTTACATGCCAGACGATGTTTAAGAGCCATTTAAACTGCAAATGAATCCTTCAGCCTCGATTAAATGATTAGGGGTGTGACAGCTGACATTCAGTGAGATTGATGATTTGATTTTTAAAGAAAACTGAACATTTAAAAAGCCAATGCCCCCACCAACATGTATTTTCTAAAGCCTACAAACATAGTGAAATACTGGTTTCTTGCCAACTTCAAACATCTCTTACCGGGGGATACTGGGCCTACTAATGGGACCCTTTTTTTTTCCAGTATATTTCCACAACCAAGTGGGTGGATGAAGCCGTAATCAGTGGAGAGTAGATGAAGTGAAGGGACGGGAGCCCACTGGCTCTCAGAATCCCGAGTCTAAAATACACGATGATGAGGTCACACTATAAAGACCAGCAGGCCATCACATTCTGCCTGTCACATCATCAGCGGTGCTCTGCTTCCCATTTTTGCAGCCCCTTAATCTGCATACATCACCATACAGGAGAGGGAAGAAACAGACTTAGTGGGGGCCCCGGTGAATTATGTGCTTGTAGAGGACTGAGTGTGACGAAAAAAGGTTTTATACAGCGGGAGATTAAAATAGGGGGAACGTGGTTAACATAAAATACAGAAGAAGAAAGGTGGACCCCAGCTTACCGGCCTGGTTGGTCGTTATGTTGACTGAGGAATACTGAGGGGAGTAGGGGCTCTGATCCGACACCCCGTTGACGGCCTGAACCTCGAACGTGTACTGGGTGTGGGCCAGCAGTTCGCTGATGTAGACCCGGCTCTCCGTCAGGCCCAGCTGCCGGGGCAGAAACTGGACGTTGTCTCCGCAGCGGGTGCACCCCCCTCGGCCTCCGCCGCAGCTCTTGCAGATGATGTTGAAGACCACGTCCTCGCGGCCCCCCGAATCCCGAGGAGGCATCCACTCCAGCATCACCGAGGTTTCGTTTACGCTAGAGATCACATTCTGCGGAGCTGAGGGCACAGCTGAAATACACACAGAGAAGATGGAGTCCTTAAAACATCTGTTTATTCAAATAAACATTGATCAAAATGTCCTGCATCCAAATCACTGTTTGTCTTTATACTTCCATATTTTGCCATTTAAATCCACTTTGAATTGAACTATATACATTTGACAATTTGAGCGGAGTACCCAGCCACATCGGTGGTTTTGCTACTGAAATGTAATTCATGAAAAAGAGAAATTAACTTTACAACCTTTGTTGTGCAAACTTTCATGACTTGCTTATCTCTGTATTTATAATGGCGCAGGTCTCTTTCATCAGAACGTTATCACCTGTGTTTCTCTGCCCCCAAAATGTTTTTTACCATCTCATGTTCCTTATCATCTAATCCCTCCTTGAAATAATGTTTTTTTTTGCTGAAGCTAACCCTAACGCCGGTTTTCTCAGACTTTTGGCAGCCAGTTTTGCTTTCGCAATCCTCTTTTCTTTTCCGCTTTCGTTCAAAAATATTTTCCACATATTTATGCACCGTGTGCATTGCTGGCAGTTTCCACTTACATGAGCATGCGTGGTTAACTTCGGCAAGTGTTAACTTCGGTTTATCTGATGCACAAACGTGTCATCTTCTAAAATTAACACCAACCGAGGGCCAAATGCTTGTAAATTTGAGCACTGGCAATAAGCCACCTGGGGATGCTGGCCAAGTCATTTAAAAGTACAGATTAGTAGTATCTGGAGCAGAAGAGAATTGAATTTTTTCAAAAATGGTCATTAAGTCAGTTTATTTAAATAAAGAGAAATATTCAGGAGGGCAATTGGAACAACATAGGGTCGCTACTAATGTAAGCCAAAACTTCAAGCACAGGGTGTAATTGTGTGATGGATGTGGCGTTGTGTCCTTGATGATGTGATGGGCGTAATTACTATATCACTTAAACAGCGGCTTCATAGGTGGGGAGAAAAGCTCGCAAAGGTCCTTAAACCTCTTGAAACTGTATTCCTAGCTTTCAGTGCCTCTTCCCTGGGGATGCCCACATGCTCTCTCAGTTTAGTTACTGGTGTCCAGTTCGTCAAGTGTGTTTTTTTTTTAACATAATGTTCTCATGATAGGCCATATAGAGTAACTGTAGCTGAGTGAAATTGTTTTTCTTTTATGCTGAGACATTTTCAACAGTTATGAACATCCAGAATGGAAAGGGTGCACATGGTGCTATGTGCTGAGTGACAGATCCAAACAAACAAACAGTAAAAAACTGTTTATCTTTTACAGACATGTGCACCTAATTACGGTAGACGTATCCTCCGGGACTAATGAGATAAACAATTCCACTCCGCCCACAACATCCTAAATCTGAATCGATCGCTTCTTCTTCTTCGGCCTCCTTTTAATTCGCCGCAATTAACGGATCTCAAGTTCTGGAAGAAAGCCCGTTGGAGTGCCCCGCTTGGTGTCTCTCTGAAACATAACTCCTCCTTGGCATCTCCTTTCCCGGGGAGGAGGACTAATATCCCCTCCCATTAGCTGGCGGGCCTCTCTGATGGGCCTGTTCTCCTGCTTTAATCAGACCGGGCCCTGCTGCGCTTAATACGGGTGACGTGACGCTGCCGCTTTTCTCATTCACAACAGCTGCTCAACTCCCAGAGCCAGGCTTATGCAAATCTTCTTTGTTGAAGAACCATCAAATCTTTCCCTCCTCTTACCCTTTCAACAGGCAAAACGAGGAAAAAACACCACTGCAACACTGAAAGGGGGATTCTTTTTCCTCACTCCCCCCCATTTTGTTTTTACTAAGGCCACGCTATACACTGATTGTGCGTCTTTCTCCTAAAAACGCACCCATTTTTTTCCGTCGCCCTTAAATTCCTCCTGCATTTCTTTCTGCAGATCTCTCTCCCTTCATACTTCATACCCCTCTCCCCCTTAGCCACTTTTGCTTCGGTTTCATCCATCTGTCTATCTTTTCTCTCGCCCGACCTCTGTGTCGATCTCAAATTCAAATTCTAATTCGAACGGCTTCATTGGCATGACAAGAGAGTCTCATTCTCCCCAGACTGACCCCTCACAAAGCCATGCGCCCTGGCCCAGTAACCCCCCGGGTCCCGTTTGGAGTGCGGGGCTGTGTGATGTTGCGGAGGAGCAACGGAGCCTCGTCTGTTGGGTCAGATCTGTGGACAGCCCCGCTTTGAGCGTGTCAGCGTCATGTTTGTGCGAGGGGACAGGCCATGACAGGGTTCCTCTGTTCCGAGCTGCAAAGACTATCACTGTCCTTTGATCTCGGGGCTCTTCAGCCAGCGGGTATGAATTGCGTTTGTGTCAAAGAGTTGATATCTCAAGCAAAGGAGAAACTGTTTACGTCCGTGTAGTAAATTTGAGCGTTCCGCATACAAAGACTGACACCATACTTACTCGTGCACGGCATCTGGAGTGGGTCAGAGTCGGTGCGGTAGTATCCATTGCGGCAGACGCAGTTCATGGCTCCCTCGTTGGTGGTACGGCTGTTAATGGGACACTGTAGACAGGCCTCATCTCCTTGAGTTGGCTTGAAAAATCCCGATGGACAAGCTAAAAGACAGAAGTGGACATACATTTTTTTTTTAAAGATTTTAAATAATCATAAAGCCAGACAAATATTTAATGATGTCACGTCGCATAATGGAATTTAATTGTTTTGGTAGAGAAAAAAAACTTTTTGTGTCAAATATTTGTTGATTCAGGATAGAATTTCCTTCTTGTTGTCTTATATAATATTATCTATAATATATATAATATATTATTTCCTATAGTCACATTGATATTCTAACATTTGTAACAAAAAAAAAAAACTTGATAGTGAAAAAGGGAAGCGGGTTAGACACTGCAATTTGTATTCCTTCCACATTTTTTGCTTGAATCGCCCCGTAAGAGGGATGAAAAGCAACAGAATCCAAAACAACAAAATGTACACAAACCTTATGCGTATGATGGATTCATTTGTGAGTCCAACATAAGCCCATAACAGACATAAATGCACCGCGGTGTTGTTTTGCCTGAGAGGAAACTCTCTGCAGACATGGCAACATGTTGTAAGTTCGCTTTGAATAATTCACCATGCTGTTGTTGTGTGAGAAATCTCTGAAGTACCCCAATTTCCAGCAGAAAAATCCTTTTAAAAGTCCCTTTCTAGAGACATAGAAGAAGAGGTGAATTTATCTCTGGCGATGAACACACACTGTATCCGCCCTTAAACTCTATCGTCCATCTTGCTGTGTGTAGATAAATCACTGGCTGTACATGGCTCCAATCTCTTTGCATGTTGCCACGAGCATCAGCCACTTCTGTGACAAACTAAATAACCAGACTGTCTATAAAATCCGCTTATCCTTCCCTTTCCAGTCATACTCTGTCTAAACAAAAAGAAAAAAAAAAAATCTTTCCCTGTATTTGCACCTGTACCATGTCAAGAGTTTTCATGTACTGAGAGGCTAAAAAAAGCTATTGTTTTGCTCCAGGTAATCCCACCTGCCCCACTGAGAAAGAAGGGGGGGAAAAAAAGGTGGTGGAAGATCAGTAACCTGAAAAAACATCACACGGGACACGCCGCTTAACTGAAGTTAAAACCCCTCAGGTCTCTCAACAGCAGCGGTGTAAAAGTAGATCATCCATCCGTTACGATAAAAGAAAAAACAAGATATATCTGTGTGCTGGCTTTGTCTTTAATGTGTTATATCATTTCTTAAATGCAGCTATCGAAGCTGACTCACATTCAGTGGGCTTGTAAATTTGAAAATGTTTCTTTCCTACACAGTGTTTCTTTTCCCATTCCCTCAATTCTGAATGAAGACCTACTTTGACATGGTGTAGAGTAATTAAACACTGCTATCACTTTCTTGTAAGGCTCACTGCTCAGATATAACATCTGGAATATCTAAACATCAACAGCTGCAATCTCCATTCAAATCACAGGACTTAATTAGTTCTGGTCCAATCTCAATGTTTATGTTTGAAAGACACTTTGCGGCACTCTGAGACCATACAAATGGTGGATTGATGCTTTTTCCCCTTCAAAAACATCAAATACAAAACTCAAAACTCCAAAACCTGAACACTGAATCACAACTGAACATAGAAACTTTGTAAAGGAGTAAGTGATAGATATACGCATGCGGAAACAGTTGAATAAATATTCTCGTTTATATAAAACACATGGTTACTTAAGAAATATTCACCCGCACAAAAGAAGTGAAATCTAACCAAAGCCACACTTTGAAATACACATATTATCCTTTTTTTTTAGTAATTCCTGCTATTCATGAAGACGTTAAGGTGAGCCCGACAAAGTTTGTGTGCTATATTTTGTCACAGTTTATGTTCAGCACAAGAAATGTCAACAGCAGAACTTTACACCAAAATGAATATGAAATTATCTCAAAGATCTGTTCACAGAGTATTAGCTTTGACATGTTTTTCTTCTCCCATGATTGATGGAGGAAAAGGTTTTGGCCACCGAGCGAAACATGAGGCCTGGACATTCACACTGCCAGTCAACGGGGTCTGTGAATGAGGCCCAGGCAACAGCCATGTGGGGAATTGAGATCGGACCTCAGAGGCACAGTGTGGTCTGTGAGAGTGCCGCACCAAAGTAAAACAGCATAAAGACGTAGTGGGGGTGGGAGTGCAAGTATGGAAACAAAGAAATGAGGGGAGAGGTGTGGAATGACTGTGTTCGGTCATTTCTAGCCGAGGAATTTAGCGAATTAGCAAAGTTATGCGTCCCTAACGGCGTGCTGCCCAAAAATGGCTTCAAAATCGCCATGAGGAGGAAAGTGAGTGAAAATAACTGTTCACAAATGATGCCTCATAATAACCAGCTACTAAAGTGGTTGTATCCACATTTTCTGTGGTTGCTGCTGAACAACATGCAAGTGGGTCATTTAAAAATTTGTCTTTGACCACTACACCATCAGATGTATTCTTTGTTCACTTTATAGCTGTTAGACTGAGTGTAAACATTTGGCAAAATGACTCCTTTCATGCTTTTACTATATACTCAGTTGGAACATAAGAAATCCCATTGTTCTAACCCATGATCTAACCACTGTTTATCTTTTTCCTTTGTCAGGGTTTATACTGTTTCGTTAAAATTACTGTTAATAACATGTCAGACAAGAAAAAGTTGTAAAAGTAATTTAAAATATTATGAACATTTTTAAACATATTTCTAAAATGTAGAAAACGCTCATCACTTCATTAATTAAACACTGTATAAAATATGCAAAATTATATCATATAATCATTTATCTTGTGAATCCAGATAAGTCAGACATGCAGATTTCAGACAAAATTAAAAAGGTAGTTAGTTTGTCCCTCTAATAACTCTTAATTATTGCGGAACAGTTTAAAATAAAATAGAATAACTTTCAAAAACCCATGGTATCTACAGTCCAATATGCTTTGGTTGCCTCTGTGCTTTTTGCCATGGCCATTATTTTAGGGAAATATTTGGGGAATTTCCACTTCGTGCTCGGATGACAGATTTTAAGAGTTGCACAGTTGGTTGGTGTCAGATGAAGAGAAGCAAAGACATGGAGAGCAGTGATTAAAAATCAGATCAGGGCTTTAATTCCCTTCTTCCCCACCTGCCAGATTACTGCTGTTGAGCGGTTTGATCATTATGCTGGCAGTGCTGCTAAAAATGTGAGAACTAAAGGCTATTTTTCATGTTTCCTCCAACTTCTGATATCTTCCTGGCAAGAGAAGCTAATTACCTTAAGAATATTCATTGACAACACTGCTCCACCGTTCCTGTTCCTGCTACACACTGCTATTAATACCATCAAAAGGTTGGAGCAAACATGCCACGTTTTGCTCTTTTCTGTGGGGACTAAGAACGTGGGTTTTGGAAACGCGACTGACAATGAGACGTGGCAATAAGTCAAGAACAAAAGCCACATAGAAAAGCTTAAAGGGAAATTATAAACACTTCAGAATCAGTTTAGTGGGAGCTATGTCACAAGGTCCAGATCACCTTAAATTGCTTCCAGGCGCACAGAACACATTTCCACTTTTGAATCTTAATATTGAAAAAAATAACAAAACCTTCAACCATTGGGGTAAATTTTGTGTTTAGTTTGTTTTGATCGTTTAAGAAGGAAGTGTTACAAAAATTCATACTAACGTTACAACTTCTAACATCTTCAAAATACACTTTCTCCCACACAGAAACACACACACAGACACACACACACACATACCAAAACCCAGCTGCTTGTGTCTGCCTATGTTTACGACTCCTAATAATATATAGCGACATAAAAGCTTTAATTGGGGGCTTTTGCTAGACTCACTGAATAAAAATAGCACGGAAAAAGCTGCGAGGAAAGGTAAGTAAGTGAGCTTGGGTGCTGCTTAGTTTTTATAGCAGGTAATTTGCTGGTTGTTTCAAAGGTTTCCTGAATGTTACAGTCACAACGATTTAAAGCACATTGAAGAAGAGACCAGCAGCAAAAAAAACCCATCTGAAATCTATAAAGCATTTGGATCTGTGTGGGTATGTACGTGCATGGGAAAGGATAAAAAACAAGCTATTACCAGCATGAGCAGCCATGCTGTCTTCTTAATACATTTTCATTTGTCAGTGAGTAAGAACAAACAGAATACACAATGTTTAGATGGACAGAAAGTCAGATTTGGACATTTCTATTTCATCTGACGCATTCATAACTGGGCAATGGGGCAACAACTAGATAATCAGCTTGCTGTTATCAAAGGGCGAGGCCACACCTGTTGTCTGAAAGAGGGGGAGAAAGGTGGTACCTTCATAGTCTCCTTTAAATACTGCACTAAACAGGGAAACTCTTTGTCCAGCCGTCTGGGGCATCGCAGCCACTACAGCTCACCCCTCCAGCCCCCTCTTCCCTTTTCTCGCTTTTTCTTTCTTTCGGGACCCACTACTACCTCCGGAAAACCGCTTTATGGAATGAACACACCCTTAAAGAAGAGAGAAGAGAGACAAAGAAGGACTAGGGCTCTGTGTGTGTGTGAGTGTGTGTATGTGTGTGTGCAGTGTTTAAGGTGTGAAAGACAAAAGGCTGCAGGGGTAACAGAAAAAAAAAAATCTTCGCTTTTGTGAGCACAGCAGGAAAAAAGTGCTGAAAGCAGAGAAAATGGTCAGCATCAGAGAGACTGTATGCGCACAGTGGGTATTTCCCTATATTCCACTGTGACCGGGAGAAGTGCCTACTGAGAGCCATGTGCATCAGTCCCCTGCTTCTAGTAAAAAACTAGATGAATCACATTGGTGAGAAGAAGTCGAGATAAGCTGCTGATGCTTGGCGGGAGAAATTAGATTGGGACAGTGCGCTAACTTGTGCGTTAGTTTTCCCACTCGCGCTCCAATCCAGACTCCACAAAACATTTCAGCCTTTTCACTCGTCACACCTCAATGGAGTATAACCCTGTGAAAGCCACAGATAAAGCAAAGGAGAGCAGCTACAA